TTAGGCATGCATGTGCTTTCTTTTAAGCACAGGAGAGAATTTAACCAGCAGCTGGATGAAAGAGGAGAGGAGACTTAATGTAGAAAGGAGCAAACCAAATCTCTAGTTTGCATGTCACCCTTATTGTAAATTCCAGTGTTAGGTTTTTTTGCAAGCAATTTGTCTAGCCAGTCATGCAGGGAGGAAAAAGGGAGAGATGATGAGATAGATAGGTGGGTAGGTACAGGGGTGAAATGCTCCTGGTTCGGACCAGATCGCCCAATTCAGTAGTGATGGCGGAGGGTGGTTCAGAGAACCGGTAGCAAAAATCCCTCCCCCCCCCACATGCCCAGCTGAGCCGCACGATCATCAGAGGCTTTTTTTTTACTTTTAAAAGCATTTTTTCTTTTTCATTTTCTGAAAAAATGCTTTTAAAAATAAAAAAAAAGCCTCTGATGATTCTGCGGCTCAGTTGGGATCGTCAGAGCCTTTTAAAAGCATTTTTTCTACAACCTCTTTGGCCGAAGAGGTTATAGAAAAAATGCTTTTTAAAGTAAAAAAAAAAAAAAGTTGGTCACACCCACCCAGTGACATTACCTCCCCCACCAAGCCACGCCCACAAAACCGGTAGTAACAAATTTTACATTTCACCACTAGGTAGGTAGGTAAGTAGATAGATAGCAGATAGATAGATAGACGGAGAGAGAGAGAGAGAGAGAGAGAGAGAGAGAGAGAGAGAGAGAGAGATAGTGGCGCAGTGGTTAGAGTGCAGTACTGCAGGCTACTTCTGCTGACTGCCAGCTGCCTGCAATTTGGCAGTTCAAATCTCACCAGGCTCAAGGCTGACTCAGCCTTCCATCCTTCCGAGGTCGATAAAATGAGGACCCAAATTGTTGGGGGCAATATGCTGACTCTGTAAACGGCTTAGAGAGGGCTGTGAAGCACTACGAAGCGGTATATAAGTCTAAGTGCTATTACCATTGCTATAGATAGTACTGAGAAACCTTGGTAGGTAAACACTTTATAAATTACAAAAAATTATTACATAGAGAATTATTTCTTATACACCTGAGTCAAGATAGCACCCTGAAGGGAAGTTAAGCTTCTTTCTTCTGATCTGCACTCAGTTAAACCCATATTTTTCAAACTTGACAATTTTAAGCTGTGTGGACCTCAACTGCCAGAATTCCTCAGCCAGCACTTAATCTGCATGGTCCAGGTGAGAGAATCATATGTAATCCAGAACCCTAGCATAAGGCAAAGTCGCTCTCAAATTGAATTCAACTCCATGTATTTTTTCTGGCAACAATGCAGGAGTGGTTTCCCACTTCTTCTTGGGTGCTTTTCAAATTTCCCAGACTAGCCTACAGCCCTGGTATTCCCTGGAAGTCTCTCATCCAAGTGCTGACAAAGTTCAATCTCACTCACACATTTCATGATCAGGCAAGATTGGGCTGGGTATTGCCATTTATTTTAAAATTCAACCCCACTGCAAAATCTAAGGGTCACTGTGGAGATAAATCTATTCTGAAAACCCAATTATTAATGATCCTAACTTGCAGATTCTTATAAAGGGCACATTTTATCATTTGGGAAGAGGCAAACAAATAATAGGATTACAGCAAAGATGGAGTGAATTCTTAACCTTTTGGTCCCTGCAGTTTATGGATATAGAAAGCATTCATTTAGTTTGCATTTGAATAGAACTGGCTTTTTCCCCCCATTTCCAAATCAATATTTGAAATGAAATTTAATTATTAAAGTAATTCTTTCATGAATGTTCCAATATATATTAGGGAAAATGGTTCAAAATGCATTAGACTGTGGAAATCTCTTTGCAAACACTGCACGTTAGACAAAATCACAAAGAAAAATGTATGTTTGGAAATATGTGCTCTAAAATGCATGCCGGCGTTCATAAAAGCTTTTTAATTTTCTAGCTTGACTTTTTAAAAAATTATGTTTGTTAAGAGATTTCATACGATTTATTTTTAGAATAACTTTATTGTCACTTTAAATGTACCCTAATTGACATACATTAAAATGAAATTTCATTACATACAGCTCTCAAAAGGTCACCACCATATAATAAAAGACAAATGAAAAAAGAGGGGGGGGAAGAAAAGACAGGAAAATAAAAGAATGCTGGACAAGGATCAGAAAACTAAAATTAAGAAATACATAAATGACTTCTGATCTTCTTTTCAACAGATAATTATGTTCTTATTGCGCTCCTCCTTCTTAAACATTTTGCAAATCCCCTTATCCCCTTACTTAACCTACATCTTTCTTAATCTTCAAATCCATAAATCATCAATTGACAAAAAGAACATGGCAGACAGTAGTTATAAATATGAGAAACTGAGATAAATGGCTATATTTATCTATACCTATTGCATGTCTGGGGAAAAAAAATCTCACTTATGAAGCTGATCATTTTGGGAGTGGGAAGATTCATTGGGGAAAACAATATCTTGAATTTGCTAAACATATTCACATATCTTAATCCTAAACCCAGCAGTCAATTTATCTTCCTGAAACAGCAACACTATTAACCAACTGATTTTGGCATTAATACTGAATTGCCCCAGGTTCCTCAATCACTTAATGGGGGCTAATCTAGTAGAAAGAGTTATTGTGTACTGACTTGTGAACATCCATGTAATGTCAATACAGATTTGCTAGCTAATTCTAGCACAACATAATAATATCTTCCTTAAAAGTAGCAAATTTGTAACATAAATGGAATAAATAGGCTTAGTCCAAGCTGACTGCAGATATGAGTGTGAACAATGGAGCTCTGATCCAGGGGTGAAATCTACTTACCTTCCTTACCGGTTCAGAAGTGCACGTGCGCTCGCTTCACTCATGTGCACACACATCATGTGCGTGCGCAGACCTTTTGCGCATGCGCAGAAGGTAAAAAACACATTACTTCCTGGTTAAAACCAGGAAATAATGACACCTGGGCAGGTGGGCGGAGCTTTGCTCCGCCATCGCTACCAGATCATCAAATCACCGGCCAAGATTGCTACCAGATTGGGCAATCCAGTCCGATCCGGGAGCATTTCACCCCTGCTTTGATCCATCAAAATTAATTTGGAGTGGCCAAGAGCAAACCATAAATGGGCCTTGTATATTTTCATAGTTTGTAATAATAAGGAAAGAGAAAAAAATTTCATTAGGCAACAATATCATGTCTGGTTAAACTATGTTATGACTAGCTGAAAAATGTGTTCCCTTTACTAAGCCAATTGAATTAAACCGGAAAGTAATGCAATTCTTTAATCAGAAAGACTCAATAAGGTTGAAATAGGAAGAACTGAAGTGGATTTTATATCTCAAGACTCCAAGTTCGGTTCTGATGCTGAAACAAGTTCCTGAGCTGAGCATATGCTGACAGGCCTCTGACTGACTCTTTTGTTTTCAATTCAAAGCGCATCCATCTTCTGTCTTGAAGATAGGAACTTGTGACTATCTACAATTATGCTTCTGAGAATCAATCGTTGTTGACCATGTTGATTGAGGTCAACACTCACAACAATATCAAACAACTTTGTTTGGCAATGCCTAACCAACCTGATGCGTCTCAACTTCTGTATAAAAAATAAAAATTGAAATATCTAAAACAGTATTCAATGACTTATGTGATTCACTAATTTCAATGCTTTAAAACTGGCCACTTTTTTTATTTTTTCCCCCACTTCAGTTTTGGCAACTCTTCTATTTAATGAATTAATTCTTCTTCGTTAATAGTGGTGAAACTACTTTTCAGGATGCATCTTCGCATGAGCAGGCCAAGATTTTATTCGAGTAATATCCATCCATATCTCTCATGTTTCACACTTTGTCTTATAATATAGAACTTTACTGAGTCTGGATAAAAATAGTTACTGCTGCTAAATTGGTGTGAGAGTATACCCTTTGCAAATACTTCACAGGTTGTTTATTGACTTTACTTTTTGAGAATGGGAAAGGAAATAAAACAGTGATTATGCAAATGTGATGTGTACATAACAAGAGGATCACACTTATCTTCTCTCCAGCAGTTTCAAGTCTTGTAGGAGCTGAATCTCCATGGGAAAACAATTGGAGAAAAGCTGGTACCCTGTTAGGAGACTTAAATAAACAATGGCTGCCAAATGATTTGCAGGTGTCCAGAACATCTGGCTTCTACTAGAAACTCCATGGCTTGTGATGGTTGTGGGTTCAATATAGCAAGAAGGTTACCTACACAAACCCCAGTGAAGTGTACAGTGTGACTTGTATGGAAGAATTTCCCACTGAGCTCTTTTCCTCCTACAAACACATTGCTTCGTTTTGGCTGAAAATAGTTAGTAGATCAGCTGGTAACACTCAACAATAGCTTCATGCTTCATAGCTTATAACAGCAGTGAAATCCACTTACCTTCGCTACCGGTTCGAGAACAAGAGCACGCGGGACCGTAATGATGGCCTGGTGGATGGGCGGAGCCTCCCACCGCTGGTGCTACCGGTTCAGCAAACCAGATAGAACCAGGGGAATTTCACCGCTGGCTTATAAGGTTTTAATATCACGACCTTTTTATTGGTAAATTGTTTTGTTTTATTGCAAAAGTATGATTTTCCCTTCAGAAGAAAAAAAGCAGCGTGGTAGGATAGCAGTGTTCCAATATTTGAGGGGCTGCCACGAAGAAGAGTGGGTCAACCTATTCTCCAAAGCACCAGAAGGGAAAACAAGAAGCAATGGATGGAAACTGATCAAGGAGAGAAGCAACCTAGAACTAAGGAGAAATTTCCTGACAAGGAGAACATAGAACCAATGGAACAGCTTGCCTTAAGATGTTGTGGGTGGTCCATCACTGGAGGCTTTTAAGAAGAGATTGGACAACCATTTATCTGAAATGGTATTCGTTCTCCTGCTTGAGTGGGTGCTTGGTCTTGAAGATTTCCAAGATCCCTTTCAATCCTATTATTCTGTATTCTATAGCTGTTTCTAATCCACTTTCTTCATTTTTCCTCCTCTTCCTTTTCTTCTTTAGATGAGCAACATGATCTCAATGCTTTAACAAGAGCCTTGGGGGCACAGTGGTTATAATGCAGTACTGCAGGCTACTTCTGCTGACTTCTGGCTGCCAGCAGTTTGGCAGTTCAACTCTTATCAGCTCAAGTTGACTCAGCCTTCCACCCTTCTGAGGTCAGTAAAAATGTTGGGGCAATATGCAGACTCTATAAACCGCTTAGAGAAGGCTGTAAAGCACTGTGAAGCAGTATATAAGTCTGCTATTGCTGTTGCTATTAACTGTACTGGGTAAGATCAGAATCAAATTGCTTAGGATCAGTGTGCAGCTCCCTATTAGCATGTTATGAGGAGTTTCAGGAAAGAAATAATCCACAGGAAAAATATCAGTAACAAACATCTGACAAAGTGGAATGATAGTAGAGCAAAGAGGAGGAGTATTAGGGATGGAAAAATGTTTTCTTCAGGAGAAAGATTATAAAGAAGGCATTCCAAGAACACATGGGAACCAGCAGTGTGGAGAGAAAAAAAGAAAGGAGATCAGAAAAATTGGGAGTTTTAATAAGTGAGGATCATGAGAAACAAGAAGAGAAAAAGAAGTGAGCCAGATGATGGAGGGAAAAAAAGAGAAAAATAGGCTAGGCGACAGTAAGAGGTCTGCAGTGGGCAAGATGGGTAGGGGAAAGCAGTGCAAAGGGTCAGAGACTGGAGGTTGGACAGGCAGAGATACACAGTGGCATTAAGAGATGGAGAGAGAGAAAGAGACTGAGCACAGAAAAAGTGTGGGAATGGTGATGAGAGAGACTCTAGAAAAATGCAGAGAAGAGTAACAAAGAGGATTAGGGGAATGGAGGATCAAACATATGAAGAACAGTTACAGGAATTGGGTATGTCTAGTCTAGTGAAAAGAAGGACCAGGGGTGACATGATAGCAGTGTTCCAATATCTCAGGGGGTGCCACAAAGAAGAGGGAGTCGAGCTATTCTCCAAAGCACCCGAGGGCAGGACAAGAAGCAATGGGTGGAAACTAATCAAGGAGAGAAGCAACCTAGAACTAAGGAGAAATTTCCTGACAGTTAGAAAGATTAATCAGTGGAATGACTTGCCTCCAGAAGTTGTCAATCCTTCAACCCTGGAGGTTTTAAAGAAGAGATTGGATAACCATTTGTCTCAAATGAAGCAGGGGGTTAGACTAGAAGACTCCCAAGGTCCCTTCCAACTCTGTAATTCTGAGAGAGAGAAAATGCAGAGACATGCCAAAAAAAGTGAAGAGGAGAAAGCATCGGGAGGGAGATGGTGAATATGAGACAGATGGACAGGAGAAAGTGAGAAAGTGGTGGGAGAAGGAATGAAACAGTTGTTAAGTGAATCTGGCTTCCCCATTGTCTTTGCTTGTTAGTAACATGACTCTGGGACACTGCAACTGTCATAAATATGAGTCAGTGCCAAGCATCTTTATTTTGATCAGATGACCATGGAAACGCTGTAATGGTTATAAGTGTGAAAAATGGTCATAAGGTTTTTCAGTGCAGTTGTAACTTTGAACGGTCACTAAATGAACTGTTGTAAGTCGAGGACTACTTGTGCAGTATGCTGAAAAAAAATTGGGGCTAGTGGAAGCTCTATGTTAATAAGCACAGTCAACATAATAGGGCCATAATGATGACAAACCTATGGCATATGTGCCACAGGTGGCACGCAGCACCCTCTCTGTGGGCATGCGAGCCGTCGCCCCAGTTCAGCTCCGCCATGCATGCATGTGTGCCTCCCACCTGCCAGCTGGTTTTCGGGTCTCTGCCGTGCATGTGGGTGGGCGGGGCATGTGCGGGGGGGCGAGTGTGCATACGTGGGGGGAGCAGGGCACATGCAGGGACATGTGCATGCAGGGATGCATGCACGGGGTCCATGTGGGGGCCCCATTTGCCCCTGTGTGGGGGCTGGGGCACATGCACAGGGACTGCACGGACATTGCAGTTTGGGGGTTTGGGCGCATTGGGCACTCGGTCCAGAAAAGGTTAGGCATCACTGTAATAGGGGAAAGGGCATAAGAAGAAGGGGGCAGACAGAAGAGGTATGAGAATGTGTCTAGATTGGAGGGACCTTTTGTTCTGTCCTCGTCTCACACACGCACACAAACAGTCAGCCAGGAGGTAAATAAAACTTGCAGGCAATAAATTCCTTCGGTAACAGGATTGGCAGCAACCCAGTAGCTGCTTGCCAAAAACTTTACTCACAGAGTAAAGTATAATCCGTCAGATAATATCAAAACAAATACACGAAGCCAAAGAATTGTCAAGTCCAGTCTGTATTAAATCCAAGGCAGGCAGATAACGTAGTTTTAGAGATACAATGCGACTCGCTAGTTGTTTAGTTTTGTCCATCACAGAGCCTGAATGGCCACCACACCCCCTTTTATCTCCTGTGGGGTGTGGTCCAGTGACTCAGCTTAATCTCTGGCACGCCTCCTTTTCTGCTGCGTGTGCTTGTCTCTCCGACGCTGGCGTGGATCCAGCCAAGACTTATCTCCGTCACTGTCCGACTGCGACTGCTCGGAAATACCTGGCTCCTGGCCAATCTCTTCTCCCTCGGGAGACACCTGAGGCATTGCCAGAGAGGAGGGTCCTGGAGAGGGAGGCCTGGCCAACTCCTCTCCTTCACCTTCAGAGTCTTCTCCCTCTGATAAGACAGGCTCGGGGGTCGGAATCACAACACCTTTGCTGCCTCTTTCACTGGAGTAAGAGTGTATCTGCATGTAAGTGGGGGAGATAAGTAGAATCCAGCAACTCTACTTTTAATCCATACACACAGAGAGACAAACACACACCTTCCAGAATAACTGCAACCTGTGGAACATAGGCCACCTGGTAGATTGGAGGTCATGTATCAGGAGATAGCTGGCATTGCTCTGGTCCTATGTTTGAAGGGCCAAATGCAGGAGAACAGTACATGTCCCGGAGGCAGGCTGGGCGAACTTGTTTCCCTAGGGTTACATTAGATCTTGTTCTCATTCCAAAAACCTCTTGCAAGCCATCAAACAAACATATGGCATGATTTATATGAGTCCTGAGCTCTTGCAGAGAGGAAGGAAAATAAATTTGATAGGAAAAAAAGAAGAAAATACATTAGAAAGAGAAAAGATGGGTGGCTCCATTATCTTTAGGTCAGGTTTCACCCACTTTGCTTCAGTCCCTTCCACCATTGGCTTTAGACATCCAATGGATTCTAATTACTTAAGGAAAAAAAATCAGAAACAAAAAATTTCCTTAAGGCACCGTATTTTTCAGAGTATAAGACACACCTTTCCCCCCCCCAAAAGGGGATGAAAAATTAGGTGCATCTTATACACCGAATGTAGCCCCGCCCACCCACTGGCCCCCACCCTTTGGCCTCTGACTCCCAGCAGCTACCTCCTTGAAGCAAACAGCAAGAAGAAACACAGCTCGTTTCAGCTTCAGCACAGCCTAATTAGCACAAGTTGATTGGATCGGCCTCCCAACTCTCAGCTGTTTTGCGCAGGCCTCTGCTGCTTTCTGCAAGGAGGTAAATTGCTGGAGCAGATTTTTTCTTTCCTTGTGCTAATCAAGCTATGCTGAAAACGAAAATGAAAGTAAAGCAGGCTGATTGCTGCAACAAGGAAAAATTGCTGGGAGGCAGAGGCAGATTTCTTTTTCTTGTTTTCCTCACCAAAAAAAGGTAGGTGCGTCTTATAGTCCGGTGCGTCTTATACTCCGAAAAATATGGTATGTGCTTGATGTCTCTTGAAAAAGGAATGATCTCGTCAGATTAAGTCTGGAAGTGATAACAGTGGCTAGGATTCATCTCTACTCAAGCCAAAGTCTGTCTATAGATGGGGAGGGGAGGGGAAGCTGCAGTTACTAGTTTACTAACCTAACCTACTCTGGTTGATAGTACAAATCTTCCCACTTTGTCAGAGCTCTGGTATATATGCCATAACATCCCTATTGGTTTCCCGCAGGAATGTCAAGTGCAAAGAATCCACACATTAAGTTCCAGCTAAGCTGATTTATTACTCAATCCTATACATAAGATTCTAGTCAACGATTGGCCAGCATTAAACTGGCATTAAATAAGAGTTAACATAATCCAAGAAGGGTTAGATTTAGACCTCTTGTGGGAACGTAACAACTCCAGGCAGATTCCTCTCTTGACTCTGCCCCCCAAGCTCTGCTTGTCTTTCTACAAGGAATCATTTAGCCAGCTATATAGAAAGATTCAACATTCAATTCCTGAGGTTATTAAGGTCACTGTAAAATTTACAGTGTAAATAAACTGGTCATAATTTTCTCTACAAAAGAAAATGTAATACATACCTAATTGATTGAGAGGAAAGATGCTCCTTTATCACCAACAGAAAACTGAATATTTTTCTTTTTTTTATTTTTATTTTTTATTTTCAATTTACATTAACAATAAACATTCTTTGACAGTACTGTGTCATATGTCTCTTACTATTAATCTAATATTTTTCAGTGTTCTTTCTTAATGAAACAATTTGAAACAGAGCAAGCAGAAACAAAACAGGCCCAAGAAATATATTTTAGATTAAGAATTCAAAGTGCTTTTCTGAAGCTTTCATCAGTCTTACAAACTAGGAGAGTGGGAGAAACTCATTTACTTTGTATTTTAATATAAGTGTACCCAGTTCAGACTTCCTAAGAATAAACAAAAACTAGAGTGGAACTAATTAATAGCTATAGTTTTATGAATTTTTCAAAGCTGTAAAATATGCAAGCATATATATTGCAAGAAAATGCCCTCAGTTGGGCATACAATTCGGAAGAATGCAGAAAAATGCAGTGTATTAAGGAAATTGTTTATAAAAATATGTAGATTGGGAGAACGATATACAATGCTCACATATTATTATTATTGTTGTTGTTTATTGGTTCGATTTATATGCCGCCCTTTTCCGGAGACTCAAGGCAGCTTACAATGCGTAGCCCCTGAGCCCCTTACATACTAGGGAAAGTGAATACTAGTTTATATGTATTTGTGAAAATAGGCAAAAAAAA